ATCCACTTTTTTGAAAATTTCCTTGGATGAGGCATTGCTTTTGCAGGATACCTCTGGTATCAGTCTAGATGTAGCCTGAGTGACCTGAGTCTGAAATCACCCCTGTCAAGGCTATTAACAGAGCCAAAAATATTCTAGGATGCAAAATCTAGGGGTTGTCAGAAAAGAAAGTTAAACTCTCCAATTTCCTTCTCAAAACTCAAATTTTCAGTTTCCAAAATCAAAATAATATCACTGTCTACAACAATTTAACTCAATTTTCTTTAATTTTCACATATCTAATGTTATATAACCTTTTGAAGACTTTTGATCTCAAAGATTTTGGGACAGTGAGATAAGTCTGGACAATATGGTGAAGTGAAGAGAAGGTCAGTGGTTGTCTTGATTTAATCTATTAACACCAGAAAAATACTCCTCTATCTTTAAATATGAAAAAAAAAAGTTCTGTAAAGTGTCAATTTAAACATATGGAGCCATGTCTACAGCTGGGGTAAAACAGTGCTGAAAATCTATCCTAAGGTTGCTGATCTGTGGAATGCTACCGTTCCGTATCTTGAAGCAGATTCTGCAACAATTTGAAAGAATGAATGTCACTGTTGGCAAGCCAGTAATAATGTAACCATGATTAAGGCAGATTTTGTCCTCTTTTCTTTCACATATCTTGTCAGACCTTTTAATCCAGAACTCTAATTGACTTCAATCTGAAGTTTTGCATCCAATAGAATACCTCTTAAATAAGATCCTACGCCCTCTTGAAATCTGTTTCTACCTAGACGACCATGTGCGGTGGAGTTAAAACAAGAAGAGAAACTACATTATAACACTATTTTAAAACATCACTTCAAAGATACTTAAAACCCTAAAATTTGCCAAATAGTTCAAAGGGAAGAATATGTGTGGACTGGATATCACTGATCATTCCCTATCTTTTGGATAAACTTGATCTTCACAAGTGACACTATGAAGCTATGGTAGTTTCCTGCAAATATTCTTGAAAAACCTTACTGTATTGTGTGCAAAGTTATGTATTATTGTGGGCCAGGATTGTTTGTGACCTGGGAGATGTGATATGAGGCCTGGGAGTTCAAAGATATTTTGAAAATGTACCGGACGAGAATTGATTTCAGGACAGTGCTGGGCAAAATACGGCTCGGGATCCATCCTGCGGACCACCCTGCATGGACCCTCAGGCACACAGGTTTAAAGTTGCTGCGGGTTTAAAGCTCAGTCTGCACGTCTCTGCTCTGCACAGAAGGGGAGGCTATGTGTGATCTCCTAGCCCCGACCCCAATCCTCAGCTTCTATAGGCTGGAAACAACCGGCCAATAGGAATTGACCCCAGCCAAACTCTCAGCTCCTATTGGCTGGAAACAACTGGCCAATAGGAACTAACCCCAGCCAATCTCTCAGTTTCTATTGGCTGGGAAAAAACAACCCCAAAGAGC